TTGGTTTAATGGTAACTGGATGGCTAATCCCACGTTCGCGACGTGGTTAGCACCGGTTCCAGGCAATAGCTGGAAATCATAGCTTAAACTTAATTTTAAAAATAGCTTAAATTTGGTCAAAGTGGCCTTAAAAAAGGTCTTAAAAAGTCTTAAATTTGGCTCCCTTAAGCCTGCAGATGCCCTGGTTCACCCTTTTAGTACCGACTCGTCCTAGAACCTTTTCCTTCTAGCATCCCAGAACTCAGACCAGAGATTAAAAGCACTCATGATTTGCCCTGATGGTCTTCTTCCCATCTTCTCTTTAGTGGTCCATTACTGTATCGGAGCTCAGAACCAGAACCAGCCAAGCTGCACCGGTCTGTCAGCTCGGTCTGATCTACCAACGCAGCAGCAAAGCTCTGAGTTCAACTCGCCCGGTACTTTAACAGATACGAGTCACGGAACAACCTTCCAGGGGAGCCAATCTTCTCCGTATCCTCAACCAGGATATGCTCTGACCTCGGATCCCCCTGGACTTCAGCAGCTGTCCTCCCAGAACAGTCAGAACATTCTGGGTTCATTAGCTCATGAAGCAGAGGCACAGTCCAGCCGGACTTCTCTGTCCTGCCTGAGGGACCTGAGGATTCCTCAGCCTCTCTCTCCACTAGAGCCTCGTAGTCCTGATGCCCAGCAGCGTCCCAGCAGGTCTCACAACCCTGAAAATGATGTCCGACCAGCTCTTCCTCAGCAACCCTGGCTCACCGAACCCCCCCGCTTATTGCAGCTCCCGATTAGCGTTCTGTCGGATAATAAAACCGGTCCTGTACCCCGCCGTGGAACCAGCAGCTGTGGCTCAGAGCTGCTGGACTGGAAACCAGAAAGCTGGGACTCTTGTGCAGAGTCGTCCACTGTGGGCGTTGTGGAGGACAGGTGGACAGAATCCGATCCAGGAGGTGGATCTGCCCCGCAGAAGAGACAAAGACAAAGACGGAGTGATGCTGCGGAAGGCTCTGAGATACCTAGGAAGAGAATTAGAAAGAGGAAGAATCTTCAGCAAGCCTCTGAGGATCTGGGGGCGGCGATCAAAAAGCTGAAAGTCTGTGAAGGAGCAACTGCGGTCTCCCCAGTGAGGTCATCATGCAGCGGCGTTCCGGTGGAGGAAAGTCAAGCGGCTTCCAAATCTTCCGACAAGCCGCGCACGTGTCCAAGAACAAAAATGGTCCCGGCGTGTGCGCAGGGGGAGCCCAGAGAGGTGGAGAGTCTCCGCGCTGAGCAGACTCGGATCCGGACCAGGAGCTTTGTGAAGATGATCCAAGAGAATATAAGCGACAAAATCCAGGAGAACTGTGTTTTAGTACCTGTGGTCTGCAGGGCTGTCATCAGAAAGGAGGAGACCGTCACGCTCCTGAAGAGAGGACGTGGAAGGCCGCGTAAGATAAGGCCCGTGGAGACGCCTTCAAACCGTGTTCCTGAGGAACCCGAGAGCATGAGCAGGGACAAAGTCCACGAGCAGCAAGCTGACGAGGAGTCATCAAAGGTGGAGGAGGATGGAGAAAGAAAGAAGAGAGGCAGAAAACCAAGGAACCATGCAAAGAACGCAGGAGCGGCTCATCCAAGGGAAGCGGGAAGTGCTGAGGGCTTGGAAAAGGCTGGAGAAGAGACACCCAGACAGTCATTGATGGCCACTCTGAAGACGTTTCAATGCCTCATCAAACAGCAGCACTCAATGACAGTTAAGTCCACAGAAATTCAGGAAACAGACAAATTCATGAGAGAAGTCGAGAAAAGGGAGGATGGGTCGGATAAGGATGTAGAGATGGAAGATCGGGATCTTCCTGATGGGACTGTTGATGAAAACCACAACCAGTCTGTCGTCACATCAGCCGCTACTGATGCCAACAAACTGCATCAGGATGTCCCGAGGGATCCAGGCCCCGCAGCTTCTGATGGTGTCCAGGAGGACGATGGAGTCCAGGTGTCACCTGACAGGGAGCAGCTGCTTCAAAACCCAGTGGAAGGTAACGGAGAAGTCTAAAGGGAAGTTTTAAATCCAGATGTTGAAATATGCGTTTGTAAAGTCAGACGAGATTTACAATTGAACACTCAGGTCAGGTGCTTCCAAGAAACATCCAGTTATCCTGAGCTCTTATTGTGAAAACCACTGCCACCAGAGATGGCCGATTTATTTCACAAATACATATTTCAGCAGAATGTCTTAACTAGTTCACTTTTTACTGTGTGGGCGTCGGACGAGCCCCCACACCGTGAGAACAAACATCTCAGCTCTAAAGCCGATCTTCATCCGCTTACGTCACACGTCACGTGATCAGGAAGCAGAACATCCATGTGTTAGGAGATCGTTTTGGGCCGCTGCTGTAAATAAAAGTGAGGCGCGAACCGGAAAAGCTTCTGCCGATCACAATTCAACAACGGATTATGAAAGAACGGATAATGCCCGAAACGCGCGGATTCTTCCTGATGTAAGAGGTGAGTCTGCTCTTTGTTTTGGTAGTTTTGGCGTCGACATCATGCTAGCGCGCAACGTTCTGTGACTCTTAAAAAAACAGTAAAAACGGTGAGAAACGCTGGCGGCGAATGAGTTAATCAAGACGGGGTGTGACCTGCAAAACCGTCGGCTGATCTCTAAACATCGTTTGGTGTTCCTGGGGATTGGGGCGCCAGACGCAAACGAGCTAATTTAGGGCACAGGAGTATTTATTGCGTCTTTTAGGCCTAATTCAAAATTTCGAGGCGGATTGCTTATGCTTGAATGAGCAGCCAATCACAAACTAGCTCTGCCGTGTTAGATGTGATTGCTATGGAATTCTGCAGAAAAGTGTGAAAAAACTATTTTGAAATGAAAGCTGTCTGTGAAACGGACCTGAAATAATTAATTAAAGCACTGCAATAACAATTAGTAATTTTGGCTAAAAGTTACCTTTTAAAATAAGTTTTATATTAATAAGAACACAGAAATATTTCATAATAATGAGTTTAGATTTTTACACGACATTGTTATTTTTACCACATATTTGTTAGATTACATAGCCGTCTAGTGTTTATGTAGATTCCCAATATGTGATTTTTTATTTAATTTTGACCGCATTGGATTTCTATAGGAATTTATTGTTTAGTATTTATTTTATTTTCAACTTAAATGACAAAGAAACAGAGAAAACTTGATCTTTTTTGCATATTTTTAAGGGCAATAAGGGTGAGAATGTAAGGTAAAAACAATGAAATTATAATAAAAATGCATTAAGGTAATAATAATCGAAGGCTTTACTTTTTATTATTTGAAAAGGAAGTTTGTTTTTTTAGTTTTAACATGTTACAGTGAGATATAGGGTCTAAATGTGCTGACCTAGCAATCCATCAAATCAGAATAAAATTATAAATTTATTGTCTAATAATCACAGATTAAAGCCGAAAAACGCTCACTAATCTCTGTTCCTTATTTATTTTTCTTTGGCAGGAGGATCAGACGCCCTGCAGGTTCTGATCAAGGACAAAGGTACAACTTGCGCTGATACTAGCTCACCTGAAGCAGCCATTAAAGCCCACGACTGTAATGGTCAGAAAACAGGAACGCCTTCGCCAAAAGGTGATGTGACAGGCGTGACCGCAGGCTCTGATCTAGATGATGAAGAGGACGAGGAGGATGTTGACGTCCTGGTTTACTCCCCAGAACACGACTGTCTGACCCGAGCCTTTGAAGGTGAACTCTGCAACGCGTCCATGACTCCAGACAACAGGGAGGAGGAGGAGGACAGCAACGAGATCGACGTGACTGGAGTCGACACAGAGTGATGTTCACTCTCGTGCATCAGTTTTATACTTAGTTCAGCACTTTTATTAGTCTGTTTTTTTATTGTTTTGGCCCAGTCAGAATCATTCAACCCAATTTTGTTAAAAAAACACACAAAATATTTCATTTGAATTAAGAGGCAAAAAGAAAATTCTCACTGTTTTCCTTTGAAGATTTCATCCTAAGTTCAAAGCACCAATGAGTCGTTGGGGAGCTCTTACAGAAAGGATCAGTTCTTTGTTAATCGTGTTTATTTGTAAAATACACGACATTAAAACAGTTTTTCGTGTTTTTTGACTCGTTTTTCTGCGTGAAACCGCCACAGTGGGTACAGCGCAGGCCGCTAGAGGGCGCGCCACCCGAGACGGGACACCTTTTCATGGGTTTGAATCCAACTTTATCAAGACCGGAAGTGTATGAGCTGACAGTCCACACGTGTATTCAGCAGACTGAAGGTTACAGAAGGAGAAGCGGCTGTTTGTTGCTGGTTTATCCGCGTGAGAGGGTCATTGGGACGGCGTGGCTGCGGTAGAAGCCGGCTGAGAGAAGCACCGAGCGGCGGACATGGACCCCTTGAAGGCGCAGCAGCTGGCGGCGGAGCTGGAGGTGGAGATGATGGCTGACATGTACAACCGGTAAGTCCTTCAGCAGCTAAAATAATGCTGCTCTGGTGTCTGCACCATCAGGTATTAAATGTGGGTGGAAACCAGAGCTTCCCGCGTTGGTAAGGGCGGCGTAGGCTTTTCATAAGGGTTTCATTATTACGATCAAAGGTAATCCTGTCATTTAATGTTAACGTTCTTAACCCGATTTTAAAATACATTTTAGGTAAAACCCGCAGGTTGTTTAACCATAATACGTTAATTCATAACTTTTGAAGGTTCTGGATCATACTTGATTTTAGATAGCTCTCAGAACAGCCTCAGTTTGGAGAAACAAACTAAAAATGGTCACAATGCGGCCATCTACAATGTGTTTTAAATCCAGTGTTAAACATGTAATCGGTTAATGCAAATTCACTTCGATAACTTTAATAATGTCTAAAGCCTGATTCACGCTTCTCAGTGTGCGTCAGTGTGGAGACACTGCGGGAGAGCTCCGCAAGGACGGATGGAGTGAGCTCTCTTTTCTAAACATCCTTCAGTCCAGACGGACAACACAAGCTTGTGATTGGTCAGGACGCCGCTGTCGTCTACAGCGCCGCCATTGCGTCCTCAAAAACATAAAGATAGCCGAGGATAAGAGCAGCTTGAAGAACACCTCGCGAAAAACTCTAAAAACATGAACGTTTAATTCTCCCTTGACTGGAGAAGTGAAAAGATGCGCAGCAAGCGTTTTATTTGTGGACGGAAATGACAGGAAACGTGGGTTTAGAGGTGGAGAGCGCATGAAGAGGTGGAGGAGGATGAGAGACAAATGTGTCTGTTAAAAAGTCTCTTAACACAATATAAACACATCATCTTGGACCAGATACATGACAGGATACCACAGAACAGCGCTACGCCCTCTGGTGTCCTGCCGGGGAATTGCTTTGCAACGCTCTCCAGGAGACGGAGAAGTATGAGGGCCAAACGCTTCCATTAATCCGTGCGCGTCTGTCCCTTGCGGAGCTGACGGAGAAGCATGACTCAGGCTTAAGATTTTATGGTGATTCTGATGTAAATGTCAAATGTGACCCAGAACTGCTGCTATTACATTTTTGAGTCACTGCTCACATTCAGACATGCTCCTTCAAGCTCAATGAATTCAGAGTCACCCACAGCAAAAATGTGCTCACAATCTTTATACAAGAACACATTTAATAAGATGGGGAACTGTCCCTTTAAAAAGGCTCCTCCCAGTCGTGTGGTTTACTCGTTTAACCAAAACATTAGCAGCAGGAATGGACTCATTCAGACGGCAGGATATGAAGCATTATTTCCTGATTTTTGGACATCTCTCCTCTGATTGGATAACAGAAATACGACTCTACCACTGACTGTTTGATCTGCAGCATTGATGTTTTTATCTCCACAAATAACACAAGCCTGAAGAAGTTCTGTGTGGTGGAGTTGCAGGTGGATTTTCATTAGAGGTGTCAAGAATTTTATTCAAAGAATATTTAAGAAATTGTTTAGAAAGTGTGTCTTACAGGTGAGTTTTACAGGTAAAGAAGCAGAGGCCGACCGATATGTTTTTTTTAAAGGCTGAAGCCGATATAGATTTTTAAAGGATTTTGTTGCTGATGGCCGATATCTAAAGTCAATTATTAGGTCTGTCTGTCTGTCTGTCTGTCTGTCTATCTATATCTATCTATCTATCTATCTATCGTAAATCCTCTAAATCTATCGTAAATCCTCTAAATCTATCGTAAATCCTCTAAATCTATCGTAAATCCTCTAATATTAGCCTGTATTTAATTAACTGCCGGGTATCATATTTTGGTCGGCGGAGGTGAATAATGGCCGGTTTTTTATTGTGGCCGGGTGGAATGCGGTAACAAGCAAGTACGGGGGGCGGTTGTTTCATCCGTCTCACTTTTGATTTGCCAGTGATAGACCGCGAGGGTAACTTTAACCGTGCGGAGACGAAGAGGAGGCGAAAATTTGATGTCAAGTTCAAAAAGAACGTGCTGATTATGCTGCAGAACACTCTGGGGAGCAGTAGTTAGGGGTTGTATGAACTAGTCGACTTCACGGCTCTATAGTGACTTTTTATGCCTGTCATCGACTAGTCGCTGTCACGTGATAATGACCGGCAAGATGCAGCCCTCGGAAAAGACAGCAGCCTGCTGTCAGCAGGTGACAAGCTCCTGCGCGTCGGGAGGCGACGCGCTGTGCCAGAGCGTCGGTACTGACACCCGCCGTAAAACGGACATTTGACCAAATTGCGACCTTTACCCTCTTGCAATTTAACCTTCCCCTCACCCCCATCCTAACCTTAACCAGCTTGCGCATGCAAAGCTCTGATTGTTGACGCGCTCCAGACATCTGCGTCCTGAGCACGGCCACAGTAACATTATCAAATCAGGTGTCGCCACCTCAAAAACTAATTTAACACGCGGTCGTTCATGTCGGCTCATTTCCTTTTATGTTTTCTGTCTTTTATTTGTGCCTGATGCGTTTCGCTGCTGTGGATCGGGGCGCATCACCTTGTCCTCCGGTGATGCACCTCACTGATGTGGCCGGCGAGCACTCTGCTGTTTTAGCGGTCGGTAGATCTTTTAGAACTGCAGTTCAAAGGTAACTCATGAGGTGAATATATATGTAGCCAGGTAGCAATTTTTCTTTAGGATTGAGAGGAGATGCAGGAAGATAATAAACAGGCAGGACAGAAAAATTATCAAATAAAAACAAGTTAGTTTTTGTACCTGGTGGTTGCAACAAACAGACACCATTGAAGGTAATCAGAAGTGAGGAACAGAAAATGAAATCATTATTTTAATGTTTAGAGCAGCAGGAACTCCGAGAGGCTGCAGGTGCTTCAGTGAGATTGCGGCCGCTGCGCAGGGGGAGGGGGGAGAGGGCTGAAGCAGGGGGAGGGGGGAGAGGGCTGAAGCAGAAACTACCGTTGTTAAAAGAAATGTGTGTAACTTTGAAAATGTGGGCGCAATTTTAATTGTCAAAAACTCCAACGAACCATTAGTTCATTTTGCTCAAATAGAAATTGAGGCCTGCCTGTAATTCTGGCCCTCCTTCCAATAAAGGCCTGGAGCTTGATGAGCTTGAGTCAAATACAGGCCCGGGCCTGTAATAGAGGATTTGCGGTATATATCTATAGATGTATATCTAGATATCTATATCTTTAGATATCTATATCTATCGATATAGATATCTAAATCTAAATCTATACATATAGATATCAATAGATATATAGATAGATATATCTAGATATAGATAGATATAGATATATATCTATATCTATATAGATATAGATATCGATAGATAGATCTATGTCTATATCTATCTAGATTAGGGCTGCAACAACGAATCGATAAATTTGATGAAAATCGATTACTAAAAGCGTTGGCAACGAATTGCGTCATCGATTCGTTGTGTCGCACAACTCTTCCAAAAGCGCCCCCCCTTCCCGCCCGCCGTTGCGCGCAGACAGATCAGCGCGAGGGAGAGCCGGCAGGTGTTTGGAAGAGGAACATGGCAGAAGCAGCGAGAGTCAAAAAAGTAAAAACTTTTTAAGTTTGGGAGCATTTTCAGTTAAATCAGGCGAAGACATTCGTTACCTGCAACGTTTAGGTCAGACGTAGCATGGCACGGGATGATGCAGCATCTTAAACGCAAGCATGTTGGGATCATCAGCGAGGAAGGAGAGAACTCTGTGTCCGGGTAAATTAAAAACTTTTCAAAAGTTAATCATCCAAGTCCCGGATTATTACACAGGCTAGACATGCCCTAAGCTCGTAAAAAAAGAGTCTAAAGTCGTGAGCGCGACGCTTATTAGATGAGCGGGGGGGACTGGCGCTGCTGCGAACCGGTTCCGCCCAAGGCCGGATTAACTGGGCAATTGCCCAGGGCCCACGAACTCTAAAGGGCCCAGGGCACGAGCAAAATACTGTATCTATAATGTCCCGCTTTATGAGAACTATGGTGACCGTAGGTTCCGTTTTCCCCGGACGTGTCCACTTTTCACTCTCTGTCCGGGCGTCCGGACTGCGGGTTCTTGTATTGATGAAAATGTCCGGCTTTTCATCCAGGAGCAGGGATCGAATTATGGGGGAGCTGTATATCCTACACATCCAGGGGAACCGGAAAAAAGTTTTCTATATTATATTATTTTTGGACTCTTTTGAGCAGAGAGCGCAGCGCGTTGTTGCGCAGCGATCCAGGCAGCTGCGTCCAGCGCACGGTTCATTCTCAAAGTGGCGCAACCAAAAAACTATAATTAGCACACGATCGTTCATGTCTGCACATGTTCTCTACTTTCTGTCTTATTTGTGCCTGGCGCTCTGCTACTGCGGAGCTCATCCCCTGTGCTGCGGTGATGTCACCTCACGCAGCATCGAAAACGCGCTCTGCGCTTTGCGGTCAGGAGATCCCTTTGATCTGCTCAGAAGTAACTGATGAGGTGAAAAAGTAAGAATCCAGGCAACAGATTTTCTGGAGAATTAAGAGGAGATGCAGGAAGATGAGAGACAGACAGGACAGGAAAATAGTTAAATAAAAACAAGAAAACAAAACAAAAGTGTTGAAAAGTCAAATGTAGGTAGATTTATCTCCACTACACATTTCTACCTGTATATAACAATAAGTTACACACATGTAATATTTATAAATTTGATACTATTCAGATCACCTTCAACACTCAGTCACACACCCAGGGCCATTTCAAGACATTTTGGGGGCCAAGGCAAACTGCCGCCCCCCCTCTCCCCCCCATAACTGGGCTCCCCAGAAGCCTCAGTGTAATTCATACCCTCTCCAGTAGTGTTAGTTATACGGTGTTTATAAAAGCCCCTCAGACATCACTGACACATTCTAATATTATCACATGAAAAACTAAATTATCAGACATGCTGTCTCATCTGCTGCTTTTCTAAACTTGCAAAAAGTAACAAAACCATTTGAAAGCCACTATTTGTGGATTCTCTGAAAGTTTCCATGGAGTGTGTGACAACTTATTTTTTTCAGTCATTTTTGGAAATAGTGATCAATTTTGATTAATTCACAGCCTATGTTTAATTACATTTAAAAATTAGTTGTTTGACATCCCCAGTTATAATAAATGTCTACAGATGAGATCAAACAAAACAGATGAGAATTGCCCTTAAGCTGTTTAACTTGGACCAAGCATTTTAGGTCACAGATAGATGTAGCTTAGGGTATCTGTCTATACACCTTATAAGACAATTTAGGTGATGGCATGTTGTTTTTCTGCTATTGAACTGTTTTCTAATAATGTTGTGTTAAATAAAGTGAAGGAAGGAGAGAAATAACATTTCCCTAGCAGTTTTTAAAAATTTCCCCATGTAATCCGATTAATCGATTAATCGTGTCGAGACCCCATCCGATTCATCGACTATCCAAATAATCGTTTGTTGCAGCCCTAATCTAGATATATCTATATCTATATCTATCTAGATAGATATAGATAGATATAGATATAAATGTTTTAGCAGCACATTGATGGTGAAAAATAACTGAACACTCACTGTATGCATTGTAAATTAAATATCAATGTCAATAAGTCTCTTTAATATTTATTGAACCTTGAATATGAAACAAACTCAAAACACAAAAGGTCTGTTGGGTCCTTCGGGTCCTTTCTTCAGTCTAGTAGTGGCGGCAGTTGGCCACACAGGTGCCTGATAACAATTGTAAAAATAATTTTGGCTGACATAGAAAACATGGAATAAATCCTCTATAAAGAAGTGTCACCTGTTACAGACACCAGGGATGTTCTTAAAGGGGGAGAAAATATTGCTTTAAGCGCCTTGATCCTTCACATCAGTTTGTTTTTGCTCTCGAGGCTCCCGGGTTCCCGTGAGGCTGCACGAGGGACTCGGTTCTGTTTGTGGTCGGAGCTCGAGGCTTCTGGACGTTTCTGTGTAATAAACCACCTGAAGGTCGGGTCAGATTTGTTCGCTGCTAAAGATCTCAAGAGTCCCACGTCCTCCCGAGGTCAGCGCCGGTTTCCTGGTTTAAAGAAAATCTGATCTACTGTCACAACCTCCAGCTTCTCTCACCTTTCGTGAAAGACCAACCCAACTCCAGCAGACGGAGCTGTAGAGTGTTAGACGTGAGGACAGGGATTCGTTTGACAAACTTCCTGTTTTGGATTCATGAGAAGATTCACTGACAGACCTTGTTCTCTCTCTCTCTCTCTCTCTCTCTCTCTCTCTCTCTCTCTCTCTCTCTCTCTCTCTCTCTCTCTCTCTCTCTCTCTCACACACAGAATGACAAACGCCTGCCACAGGAAGTGCGTCCCGCCACATTATAAGGAGGCGGAGCTGACGAAGGGCGAGTCTGTGTGCCTGGACCGCTGCGTGGCCAAATACCTGGACCTTCACGAGAGACTGGGACGCAAGCTCACGGAACTCTCGGTCCAGGATGAGGAGATGATGAGGAAGGCCGCCGTCGGGAGCGGGTAGACACCTGATGACGGAAACAAGTGCAGCGCCGTGGGAATAAAACGAGTCGGGATTAATTAAAACAAACTTTCGTCTTAACTGGTGTGGGTTAATGAGTAAACATTCAGCTAATGAACTGCATCCTTTTCTGCATCTGAGGATGATGAAGAGGGCGGCGTTGGGAGGGACCTGCTGCCAGTCTGGATCGGTTTCACACCCAGATCCGTCTCCAGCAGCAGAGGGTTCACTCCAGTAGAAAAGCCCGGAGCATGTTTGTTTTTAAACTGTCTAAATCCCACAAACGTTGTTGCTGTTGCTGTTAACCGGATTCTGCCCTCAGACGAGGGCTCCAGTGAGTTTAAAACCTGTAGTTTAGATCTTTGATTTGATGTAAAACTGCTTTATAAGTTTTCAGGACCAGCTATGAAGAGGATTTGTGTTCTAAAACAAGTAAAAAGTCTTTGATGCTATCGTTACATCGATTAGAGCTGTAATCCCGTCTGACGGTTCAGGTGTAAACGCGTGTTTGTACTGACAGTAACCCACTTTAGAAATGTTAGAACTGATCTCTGTTTCTCTAAGCTGAAGCCGTTCATGTTAAGAACACTTCAAATGATTTAAATTATCCTCTCAAACTTATGGATTATTTATCGAGTTTAAATGACTTAACGTTGTTTTTATATTGTGGATTATGTGTAGTTTTTTGTGGACCACATTCAGATTAAAAGATGGTAATGAGTAATAAAAACTAATAAAATCACAGTTTATCTTCCCATCAGCTGGCCGGGTCTCATTTGCTGTCAGCTGCAGGGGGAGGGGGCGGGGCTTCCTAAAAGTGTGCCTGTGCCTTTAAGAGCAACAGCTCCAGAGGGGAAGTGAAACCTGGAAACTTTCGTTTCTCTCGTCAAACGTTTAGTTTCAACCTGCAGCTCGAGGGTGAAAAGGGGAACCAGGAGGAGGGAGTCTGCCCTCCAGGTGGACTCGGTCTCATTCTGCATGAAGCTGCGGCCACCGGCGCGGTAAGTTCAGCTTACTAAACCCTGACAGGCTCTTAAACGCACCAGTTTGCTTTGCTGCGGTGATAAAATCGGACAAACTGAGAACAGGTGACCCAGGAACAGGTGAGGTTTAGACTCAGTGGAGATGGCTGATTCGGCAGCAGTAGCTCAGCGGGTTGACCAGTAATCGGAAGGTTGCGGGTTCGATCCCGGCTCCGGACAGAGAATGCTGCTGTTGTGTCCTTGGGCAAGACACTTAACCCACGTTGCCTGCTGGTGGTGGTCGGAGGGACCGGTGGCGCCTGTGCTCGGCAGCCTCGCCTCTGTCAGTGCGCCCCAGGGCAGCTGTGGCTACATCGTAGCTCATCACCATCAGTGTGTGTGTGAATGGATGAATGATGCACTGTAGCGTAAAGCGCTTTGGAGTCCTTACTTTGAGAGGCTCTATACAAGTGCGGGTCACGGTGGCATCATGAAACCTTTACAGTCAAACTGGTTTTAATCCACCTGAACTAAAATCCAAGGAAAGAAAAGCCTTTCAGTAAATCATCTAAACTTGTGACTTTTCAGAGACCTGTAATGAAGTCAGCACTTCCTCAGAAAACAGAAGAACTAAATGACTTTCAGCACACAAACACTCAGTTTGAAGAAGTTCCTCGCGCTTCACTCGTGCCTCAAACATCAAATGTAAATATTTAAAACGTGTTTTATTAGATCCATTCAGAAGACATCCACGTTCTTACAGGTGCTGGAAATCCTTGAAAGTGCTTGAGTTTTATGTAAAGTGCTTAAACCTTAACAAAAACTGTATTTTCATCAGCTGTTCTTCTGGATCACGTGTCTCAAACACAGAAGTCCAGACTACACCAGCACACACCAAAGTAGATAAGAAGCCACTGACAGATTATCATCTAACATACATGATATGGATGGATGATAATCCTAATCTGTGCTGTTTTTTTATTTTATTTTTTAGAATATTTAATAAGGTTCTGAGGAAATTCCGCTGGATCTGATTCCTGCAGTAACCTTCTGCCTGCTTTTTGCCACCAGATGGAGGCAATAGAGGAGGAGCGAACCGTGGATGATTGTGGTGTGGTCGTAGCGCCCCCTAACGGTGGCATGAACGAACTGCTGGATGTGGGACAAGAGGACAACATGCAGGGCCAGGTGAGCTCAGCAGCTCCACGGAGCATCCTGCAAGTTGTTTTTAATGCGTTGCTGATGTGGTGATGGGTTTTTTTCTCAGATGGAGGAGTTTCTGGGCCCGCAGGCTCAGTACAACGAGGAGGAAGAGGAGAGGAAATATTACAGGAGGAAGAGGCTGGGCGTCATCAAGAATGTTGTAGCCAGCAGCTTTGGAGCCATGATCGTTTATGGGGTTTATATGGGTGGGTTTTATCAGAGGGAAGTCCCAAAAACATTAAAACGAAACACTTTCTGAGTCGTTATTCGGTGTTTTTGTTGCAGGTTTACTGCAAATGCAGCTGATCCTCCATTATGACATGACCTACCGCGAGGTCAAGTACAGCAACCTCGGCCTTGAGGACATCGACCGGAAGATGCTGATGGGCATCAACGTCACCCCGATCATCGGCTTCCTCTACACCCCCGTCCTCATCAGGTACAGCCACACCTGAGTCCAGGTCAGGCTTTTAATCTAAAAACCTCTCCGATGCTGCAGCTCTTCTTCCTGCTGTTCAGGTTTCTCGGTACCAAATGGATGATGTTCCTGGCTTCTGGGATCTACGCACTCTTTGTTTCAACTAACTACTGGGAACGCTACTACACTCTGGTTCCATCGGCCGTAGCCATCGGCGTGGCCATCGTGCCGCTGTGGGCCTCACTGGGGAATTACATCACAAGGTGAGAAACAGGAAAACTGAAAAGGTCAGTTCACTGTGGGAAACGTATCTCAGATTATTGGTTATATCTGTTTACAAAGAAAGCAGCAGAAAAAGATACAAATAATCCCGTGAAACTAGATTTTCACTGGTTTTTGTTCTAGTTCTGTTCTGGTTTGTCAACTCATTCCACGCAGGTGCCGCGAGTTCACAAAACCACAGGATTTAGCAAGTTCATGCTACAACAATCAAAGAGAAAGATGGCAGCATGTCTGGTTTATCTTCTGTTCTTTTTACCGTCGCTGAGGAGGTTATTGGCATTGCTGATCTGATTATTTTACAGTTAAGCAATGAGAAATCTGCACCTGTCTTTTATTTTGAAAGTAGCTGAATATTTGACACCGCTGCCATGTGTGACTTCCTGTCTGGCCCGATCTGAACTGTTGATATTGGTGAGTTTAGGAAATGTAGCGCATGAATTCAGCAGAGCACTGCAACACAACACCGTGCACTTGGTGGAAACAAACCCGTCCACTTTAATGGCGGCTGTTAGTGGCGTAGTGCGCTTCGGAGACGTTACGCACCGCTTAAGCCTGAGTCATGCTTCTCCGTCTCCTGGAGAGAGTTGCAAAGCAATTCCCCGCCAGGACAGCAGAGGGCGTAGCGCTGTTCTGTGGTATCCTGTCATGTATCGGTCCAAGATGGTGTGTTTATATTGTGTTTTTTGTATATAAGATACTTTTTAACAGACATACTTGTCTCTCATTCTTCTCCACCTCTTCATGCGCTCTCCACCTCTAAACCCACGTTTCCTGTCATTTCCGTCCACAAATAAAACGCTTTGCATCTTTTCACTCCTCCAGTCACGGAAGAATTAAGCGTTTGAGTTTTAGAGTTTTTTTTCGCGAGGTGTTCTTCAAGCTTCTCCGTGTCTGCCGCTAGTTATTCTCTGCTCTCTTTATGTTTTTGAGGGCGCAATGGCGGCGGTGTAGACGACAGCGGCATCCTAACAAATCACAAGCTTGCGTTCTCCGTCTCAACTGACGGATGTTTAGTAAAGAGAGATCGACTCCGTCCTCGCAGAGCTCTCCGGCAGGAACGCAAAGACGTTGCGTGTCTCCGCACTGACGCAGACGCAGAAGCGTGAATCAGGCTTTATCCATCCAGAGGGAAGCTGGGGTGAGACCTCTCCTAGCAGCTGATGTTACCTCCTTGTGGACAAAACCACATCAAACCACTTCTTGCCTTAAAGCATCCAGAAGGAGCATCAGGATTAGCGCCTTCATCACAAACATGACATATCTAATCCTTCACGTGTCTGCTGCCCTCTGATGGAGAATTAGCATGTTTGTTTATTTATTACTGTTCTATAACTACATTATAAGATGAACATTAATATTATATAGGCCAGTTGTTAAATTAACAGCAGATAATAAAAGGTTAAATTAAAAAGTTTCAAGAGTTGTTTGAGGCCGACTCCGTTTAAAACTGCCGTTACAGCTGACGTACAAACGCTGAGCCAATCATCCCTGAAGATGGTCAGTTGAAAACAGATTACGCAACGCCTTGTGAGATTATGAGATCATGCATAATGTTTTCCTCATTTTCAGTTCAGAGATTGACCAGAATAGCTAAAACTTTGAGTTTTTTCTCAATCTTTGTTCTAAACTCTGCAGCAAAGGCAGCAGGTGATTTGCATCCCTTTAAAGAACTCTTAAGTTACCTTGCAACAGCAGGCCATGCTAACAAAAGTATACTGTTATTTACAGGTACTTAAAGAGCAAGTCGCCCCCAAATCAACTTTTTTTCCTGATAAACTATATAAATGCGTGTCTAATCGTGCTGCAGACACGTGTAGTCAGTAGTTTTGCACTTAAGTGCATTTTAGTTAAAATTTTAATTTTCTGCCTAAAACTGTCAATGTCGTGCCGTTGTCAGGTAAAAACTCTGCACTTGAATTTAAATCTGCCATCACTATTGGCTAAGAGGAACCCTAGAGCGTTAGCTGGTACCATATGATGTCACAATGTCGTTGTGAGCCTGTGTGTGTGTGTATTTGTTAGCAGCTCCGCCCTCTCGGTCTGCTAGGCAACAGCATTTGTTGCCTTTTCAAACAGGAAGTGGGAGTGGAGTAATACTCTGGTAGGGGGTGACTTGTTACCTAGCAACAGCAGGCCATGTTAACAAAAAAAATACATGTATTTACAAGTACTTAAAAAGTCCCTAATATCACTCTAATATAATGCAGACTTGTTTTAAATGAACTAATAAAGCTTCGCTAAAACGATTGCTGACGCCCTTTCAAGATAAAACCGACATATCATGACTTCATGTGAGATTAATAGTATAGAAAATCCCTTATGATGGTTTTTATGGTTTTTTATGATGTTATTGACTTATAATTCATTGTAGCTTGTTGTTAGTTCAAGTAGAAAATGTGATTTTTTTACTCTCAGTTATCGATACTTGAGTTAAAGTTTAGGACATGTCGTCTTAAATGAATCCAAACCTTCTCTACTCCTGCAGGATGGCGCAGCAGTATTATGAGTACGCCAACTACAGAGAGGAGCACGTCCAGGAGCAGAAGAAGCTCCCAAAAGGAGCGTGCCACAACTACATCATCGTCTTCCAGTCGCTTTTCTACGTCATCTTCAACGTGAGTGTAACTGTATGCGCTTGTGGTTTCAGTCCTCCGCGCTCCGTCTGTAAAACGTTTTTGTCTTTGACATCAGCTGAGTTTCGTCTTCGCCGAGCTGCCCATGCGTCTCGTCCTCCACCACCACCTGCACGAGAACAAGCACATTCTGGCCAACGTGAAAATATGTGGTAACGATGCGTCACTTCTACTGATAAATGACACACATGCATGAGGTTCGGTCTGCAACGGAGGATAAAGTAGAGTTTAATCCTAAAAATACGTCAGTTTTGTTTTTTATTCATTATATTAAAAAAAACTCCTTTAGATTTTAACAAATTTACTAATTAATAATAATAATAATACATTTTTACACGTAGGTTCTTAAAGTAAACCCTTAAACTATTGAGCTAAACAACAGAAAATATGAGTGTGTCAGAATAAAACGTTAGCCCTTATATTTATTAGGACCCCTTTTGACCCACATTGGAAAAAAAATTGCAAAACTCATCTCAAAACTTTTCCCTTGTTGTTGTCATTAAAGGGTTAAACCCTCATCTATTGAAAAACATTAGTCAGAAATGAGATTTATCTTGATTTAACAGTTTATTGGATATTTATCCATCTTACGAGTTTTCAGTTGTAATAACTGGCCCTTGCTTCCTGTAGTACTCAGCTGCTCCACTAGAGGGAGAACATGTGCACACATTCAATGGAAGTCCTAGTAAATGAAACGTTTGGCGTTTCAGTTTGGTCTCATTCAGGGTTTCTTCGTTTTTCTGCAGATTGTCGTTTTCAACTTTTCTTTGTTGGTTTATAAGCAGAAAAGCAGAAGATCTGGTTCCATCCTGCTGGGTTTAAACCTTTAGGTTTGTGCAGCGCTGTGGTCTCACACTGCCAGAGTTTATTTACGCACCATAACTGTGAGTTTTAGTAGCTCACTTCAGCTGTAAGAGTTTTCTGCAGGTTTATTTTAACCTTTAAAAGTCAGATTTCCTGACTGAATCTGTGCCCTAAAGCTTCTGATTGAACTTGTGAACGTGTGCGCTTCAGGTCGCTGGTGTTCCACAGAGTTAGCTCCGGTTGTAGCTAGGTTGCTACCTCCGTTAGCTTAGCTCCCACCTCCGCGTTAGCTTCGGGTTAGCTTGTAGCTAGTTGATCCCAGCCTTACAGCTCCACCTCTCTTCCCTTTCGTGGAATTGTCTGGGCTTGACGGAACCTGTGACACGGTCAAAATGGCGGTGGTGGCCACCTCCCATTTTTCCTCAAAAACTTGTTATTGCGGTCCCAATAACACAGAAACCCATTGTCCATATATGTATATGTCGATGGTGAAAACCGAGGCGAGCACAGCTTCAGTTTCAGCTCTAAGGTGTCCGTTTGTGTTTGCAGACTTCAAACATCAACAAATAAATCCTATTAAAGCTGATTATCCGCCAGTCTCTTCATACAGACGCAGTGAAATGAAATTTAAAGGAAAATTGAGGCCAGAAAAGTCTGAAAACCTAAAATTAAAACCAAAAGGAGGATGGAGAGCGTTCAGGAAGTTTGCAGCGGCAGTTTTCATCTCATGTGCCCTTTAAGGACACTCGGTTCAACCCAGACTGAACTTTTCCCCTTTCTCCTCCGCGGATCTTTCCGGATGTTTTTTTCCTCAGGAGCAGCGATCTCCGGGGTCATCCCCGGCTTCAACACCACCGTGCTGACCAACCTGCCCCGCTCCATGCTGCTCATCCAGGTGGAGAGCGTCCTCATGGGCTTCGCCTTCCTCTCCATGATCATCGTAAGATCTTTGAAACACAAAACCAGCTATTTATTTAGTTTGTGTGCAGTTTTCCCTCTTCTGTGAATCTTAACGGGAAAAGGTCAGATTTTAGGGATGACAACACAAAGGAGGAAGGAGCCCCTTTTCTGGCTCCTCTGAGGGCGGATACAGGTTTGACAGACCCGAGTTTTCAGGCATTTTTCCATTAAATCTGGTTTTATTTGAGAAATTCCGATCTCCTTGGAAACTAGACCCGAGAACTAACCGGGACCGTCATTCCTGCTGCTGTCTGTGGCCCAGGAAGGCACAAAGCTTGCTAATAAGTCTGAGATGGGTTTGCTAGCGAGGTGGGAAGTCAGTGGAAGGGAAATAAAATAAAATACGAAGGAACGCTGACTCGTGTCTATGGAGTTCTAATCTGAATAATCAGGAATGGCCGGATCTCTGCTTGCTGTTCCCACAGTTCCTTGTGCTGTGTGGCCCTGCCTACCGCCCAACCGAGGAGATCGATCTTCGCAGCATCGGCTGGGGAAACATCTTTCAGCTCCCGTTCAAACACCTGAGGGACTACCGCCTGCGACTGCTCTGCCCGTTTTTCATCTACAGTGGATTTGAAGTTATTTTCGCAGTCAGCGGATTCTCTCTGGTACCCTTCGGTTGCACAAACGTTCTGTTGGTTAAAATAGAGACAGGAACGCTGATTTGTCCTCCACAGTCGTACGGCGTCTGCATCCTGGGCCTGAAGTCCCTCTGGCTCCTGATAGTTGTCTACGGCCTCTCCTCCTCCGTATTCTCCCTCCTCTCTCTCTGCCTCCTACGCCTCCCTCGGTGGCTGGCTCTGATCGGGGGCGCTGTAGTGCACGGGGTGCTGCTGGTGGTCTTGATGGTGCTGTCTGTGAAACCCAGTTCCCCCGATCAGCTGGGCCCTCTGCTGGTAATCACCGCGCTGTGGGGCCTGGGCAGCGCCCTGAACAAGACCGGGATCAGCAGTAAGTGTCGCCCACCACCAAGATCGACCTAAAAACGGCTTCTACACGCCCCACAGGTACAAGCGGAAACGACAGGAATCATAAGGATGAGATACACAAAGCAGTACAAGTGATAATGCTGCATAAATTCATAATTTTATACTTAGCAGCAGCACTGCAGGTGCTTTCCATGTCCAAAATGTGCGTAAGTCAGGTCCTTAGTCAAAGTTGCGCACATTTTTCCGCTACATTTTATTTAATAAATCCCAAAGTTTGCGTGGAAAGTTTCTTACGCAGTTTTCCGACCCCGTTTTGTGCGTAAGCAAGCTTGATAAACGAGGCCCTGGATAAAAACATTTAGACTTATTTTAAAATAGTTTTATGGTCGACACCAAACTTGATCCTCAAGCTTTTTGCACAAAATCCCTCTCATGTGAAGCAAATTTACCAGATTTATTCCTGACTGTTTCAGTACCTTCCAGAATGAGTTGTTTCAGGGCTCTGTCAATTTAAGAAAAAGAAAAGAAAAAAAAAACGCTGGAGCTGGCCACACCCACCCATCCCCCGCTCAGGCTGCTATAGGCCAAGAAGCTCGGATTGCTGAAAGGGGCTCAGAGTAGAGCTGCTGCTCCATCTTGGAGAAGTGAGAGATTATTCTAAGCTAATTTAATAGTTTGTGACATCACAAATGGGGACTTCTTGAAATGGCTTGTTTTAGGCTCATAATTCCTAAAACTAAACCCTGATGGATGGACGGGTATTTTTCAGAACACGTCTCTGGTCCCAGTCCCTGATAAAGTAACAGTTAAGCAGATATTTAGTCATCACTCCTCTGATTGGTTAACAGCAACACGACTCTACCGCTGGCTCTGTTTGCTCTGCAACGTAGATGTTTTATCTCCACTAATAACACAAGCCTGGAGGAGTTCTGCTGTGTGGTGGAGTTGCTAATGCTAATGGTTAGCTTCTGCTAGCTCAGACATTCTCTGCTGTTTCCTGGACGCTAAACCAACAACAGCCTTCCCCGACGTGAGCCTAGACGGGTGAGTCCATGGATGTTACTGACAGTGTGACGTAGATCTGTCAGGATTTTCTATCCTAGAGTTTCATCGTCTGTTGGCACTGGAACAGCTTTTGTCTTGTGCTCCAGCTGTTGTCGGTATGCTGTACGCTGAGGAGAAGGAACGTCTAGACTTCGTCTACACCATCTATCATTGGTGGCAAGCCATCGCCATCTTTATCGTCTACCTCTGGTCTCGAATGCCAATGCGGGTAAAGTCCTGGTGTTTAGTTTAGAGGATGCAAAGTCTGTTTGTGTCTTTTGTTTACTTGTTTTTGTCCACCAGGCCAAGCTGTCCATCCTGTTAGCCACGTTGCTGCTAGCCTGTTACTGTTACTGGGTGATGGAGCGCCGCGTGGCACGAAAAGTTCAGCACAGGATACCTCGAATCCCTCGGCCTCGACACAAGGTGACCAATCAGCTTTTACAAATCCAATTGTCCACTTTAGTCACATAAACACACATTTAAAGAAATTCTGTCATTTTGATTTGATGTTTATATTAACTAAGAAGTGGATAGTTGTTAAAAAAACTACATTTCTTCATTTATTTTATCTAAAACAATTAAAACACTTTGCTGTTTACTTTGAACTTTACAACTAAAATAAATTATCTGCGCAAACTCAGCTGAGACTGAGAAAAGCAGGTTTAAAGTTCATATTTGGCCTCCAGGTGAAAGGTTACTGCTATCTGGAAGAGGACAACTCGGATGAGTCGGACGAGTCTGATGACGAGGGGGACCAGGCGGAGGATGATGATCAGGTTGTGGAGGAGATGGGTGAGGAAGGGGGCCAAGATCCCGGCGCCGAGGCAGCCGAGTCACCCAGAGCCCGGAGGAGAGGGGTCGAAGGTCAGCAGCACAGATGGGAGGACGCAGAGTAGAGGGAGGAGAGGGAGAACAGAGGAGAGAGCAGGAAGGCGGTAAACAGATGGGAGGAATGCTGGAGATTAGGAAAGTAAAGATGATCTGTTTTCTTTGGTTTGTCCAATCAAAACAAACATGATCTGAATTTAATCTGAAGCTAAAATTAGCTTTTTTTGTTTGTTATTTTTGGTCCAAAAACAAGAACTGAGAAGCCGACGCATGCATGGATGCACAAGTAGATGGTTACATCCAAGTTAAAGAGCAAGTCACCCCCAAATCAACTTTATTTTTCTGATAAACTATATAAATGTGTGTCTAATCGTGCTGCAGACACGTGTAGTCAATAGTTTAGCACTTTAGTGCATTTTAGTTGAAATGTGAATTTTCTGCCTAAAACTGTCAGTGTCGTGCCGTTGTCAGGTAAAAACTCTGCACTGCATTTGAATTTAAATCTGCCATCGCTATTGGCTAAGAGGTACCCTAGAACGTTAGCTGGTACCATATGATGTCACAATGTCATTGTGAGCCTGTGTGTGTATTTGTTAGCAGCTCTGCCCTCTCGGTCTGCTAGGCAACAGCATTTGTTGCATTTTTCAAACAGGAAGTGGGAGTGGAGTAATACTCTGGTAGGGGGTGACTTGCTCTTTAAGAGTCTCAATTCACATTTTTGCATAAAAAAGTATTTTTTTTTTTTTACCATTTATTTAATTCAAGTCTCTTTTTTTAGTGTTATTGAGTTATTTGTCCCCTGGGTTCGACATTTGGCCTTTTCCTGCTCGGTGGACATCAGTTGCTGTTGCTGAGCTGCGTTTCAGCGATTTTCAGGACTGAGGCTTTAAATTTTAACCTCAATTTTCAACTTTAAAATAGGATGAATTGAAATCTGAGCCTCTGAGGGAAAGTTTAATTTTGAAGCATATTTTCATGCCAAACAAAAACAAACCTTCACTTAAAAGCTTTCTGAACAAAGTCCAAACGAGCTTTCTGTTGCTGTTTACGTCTCAAGTCCGATCCTAAATCCTGCTGCTTTTATTTGCCTGTTTTTCCATCTCGTTTACCCAGCCTGCCTGTAATTGGTCATGTTGTTTTGCTTCAGCCGAGCTCTCGTCTGCAACAAAAGAGGAGAAACATGAGAAATAGATTTCCCCGTTTGAATCCCAACACCAGCTTCAATTCAACAAAGCTTTTTTTCAGCGTTGCTGGATGTGAAATGTTGTTTTCCTGCATCAGTTCTTTCTCCTGCATTTGAGACGTTTATCAGAAACGCGTGAAGTACAGATGAGGATGCAGAAACTGAATGTATGTTTGAACGTGTGAAGGTCAGTCATTTACAGCTGATTCATGACCAGCTCATGTGGTCATAAATCTGGATTATTGTTGGACAAACCTGTGGAGGAAGTTACGACCTAGATTATATATTTTTTGTGGTAAATATGATTAAATGTTTTTTTATTTGCTTTTAAAACATTTTTATCTTCATGTACCCCCATAATAAATAAATTTTCATTATTCCCATTAGGTGTTGTTGTTGTTTATTCTTTATATCATCATCATCATGTATTTTATTGTTGCTTTCTCATGCAGAACCCCGCCACAGTGTTTTATTGCTTCATGCATGCATTTTCCTGCCTCAGCGGCAGATCCTCTGCTGGTCTGCCCAGCAGCGGCAGACGCCTGGATGGGAAATAGTGACCCGCACCTCCACCATTCAGGTAGTCTCGAGTCCGAGTGCGACATGTCAGCGTGTACCTGAGGTCTCGGGGTCTGCAGCCCTTCGGCTTAGATGTGCCTGTTTCAGGACCCGGCAGAACCACATCAGAGGAGAGCTCAACACAGCAGGATGTGGAGTCTTACTTCCTGATGTGTGGACGTCTCTCCTCTGATTGGCTAACAGCAACACGACTCTACCACTTACTCTGTTTGCTCTGCAACGTTGATGTTTTATCTCCACAAACAACACAAGCCTGGAGGAGTTCTGCTGTGTGGTGGAGTTGCTAATGCTAATGGTTAGCTTCTACTAGCTGAGACGTTCTCTGCTGTTTCCTGGACGCTAAACCAACAACAGCCTTCCCCGTCGTGAGTCCAGATGGGTGAGTCCAGGCCCGGCCCAAACAAAATTGGAGCCCTAGGCAAGATTATAGGTGGCGCCCCGTTCCACTGCAGTAAATTCCACCGCGACTGTACATACTCACAAAAAACCACATAGCTTTGTCTTAAACGTTCTTTTTATTTAAAAAAGCCATTTGCACATTCAGAATACGTAGAAATATAAACATTTTGAACTGAATTTATAAAATAAAACAATACGTAGACGCCTGGATGGGAAATAGTGACCCGCACCTCCACCATTCAGGTAGTCTCGCGTCCGAGTGCGTGAAGCGACTTTGCATGTCAGCGTGTACCTGAGGTCTCGGGGTCTGCAGCCCTTCGGCTTAGATGTGCCTGTTTCAGGACCCGGCAGAACCACATCAGAGGAGAGCTCAACACAGCAGGATGTGGAGTCTCACAGTGGTGGAGGCTCAGGCAGGCTGTGTACAACAAACTACTGCCAGCTGCTCCCTCTCTGTTGGACTTTGGTACTGCATGTAACTTCCGCAATTTAGATCCGGGGCTTTTAATGAAACATCTGGGGCTTCAGCCCAAGTAGTCGGGCCTAAAAGCATTCGATTTAAATATTACAAAAATAAAAAATTATAAATACCATAAAAATAAGGAACAACACAAAATAAAGCATTAAAGGAACCAGTATCCACAAAGAATTACTAAAAACAAGTTAGGATTTTAATACAAATTCACCCAAAAGATGATTTACAGTGTCCTCTAGTGGTGTTTTTTGGTACTGCGTTATCAATGACACTTCACCACATGTCCTGAACCTAACATGACCTGCTGCAGATTTACTCTCCTGGTTTTATTTGCAGCAAAGTCACCTATAACATCATCATATGACAACTGATATGAGACCACATGGTTTATGCTTATGATGGCAAGTCCACTGAGACGTTCTTGCATCACAGATCTCCAACAAGCTTTAATCATTTTGGGCTTAGAGAAGCTTCTTTCAGCTGCAGCCACTGTAACAGGAAGGGTGGCAGAGATTCTCAAAGCAACCCACAAGTTCGGGTAAATTTCTGCCAGTTTTTTCTCGTGCAGGAAGCTACAAGAGTTCCATACTTGTCATATTCTTTGATGGCAATGGTGGGAAATTCTGCATTTCCTGTGCGAGTTCTGTGCCATCAATGTCTGGCTGACTGTCATGGGTCAGAGCAGCACTTAAAGCTTGGCACTGCTGTAGCAAGTCTTCCTCTCCTAAATAGGGGAAATTGAGGAGCACACCAAAGGTCTTATTCACTCCTCCAAGATTCTGAAATCTTTCATCTAGAGAAGCAACGGCAGCATCCACGACCACATTAAAAAATGTGGTTTCCATTTTGTGCAGTGCATCTTGTATGGGCTCATCTGGAGACTCATAGCCAAAGTGCCTTTTTGTGGTTCTCGACCGCTTTTGTTTCAGTTCGGCCTCCACGTCCATCTCCTCACACATTTCTTCTGCAGTTGTCTGTGCGTCGCCAAATCCAGTGTTTCTGTAACTGGTGAGGGAATCTCTGGTTTTCTTCAGCAAGTCTACAGCCACATCCAGCTGCATGGAGGGAGACTGCATCAGTTCACTGACATGCTGGATCTCGCTCAGAATGTCTTTCCATAGTACAAATGCAAAAGCGATAGGATCCCATCTCCTCAGCCAAAGACTGGGCTTCAACTCCTACCACAGGGTCTGCAGTTGTTTCTCCCAACTCTAGTAGAGCCTCTCTGATTAGTCTGATACCTTACTGCCTCCATGCTTTTTATTCTGCTTTCAAAATGATTTTGACATATTTTAGGAGGACATCCCACCTATGGGTGGAGGCTGAGAAGAGCTTGAATAACTTGGTTAGAGGCCCAAAGTAGCTGAGAGCATCTGGTGAGCTTTTTGCAGCATCGGCTACAACCAGATTTAAAGTGTGGGCACCACATGGGACAAAAAAAGCTCTTGAGTTCAGCTGAAGCGACTTTGCCCGAACACCTTTGTTTTTCCCCTTCATGTTGGCGCCATCGTCATAAGACTGGCGTCTGCAGTCCTCAAATGGGATATTAAGATCCTCTAACCTTTTTAGGAGAAGAGATGTCAAATGTTCTCCTGTTGACTCCTCTGCAACAAGAAATCCCAAGAAATGCTCTTTAACTTGAGGAACGTCTTCTTGTGACACTAACCTGACTGTGACCCAGAGCTGCTCCTTATGACTCAGATCGGGGGTGCAGTCTAAAATAATGGAAAAGTATTTGGAGGTTTTGATGTTTTTCACAATGTGTTCTATTATTTTACAACTGATGGAGTCTATCAGTTCATTTTGGATTGTTTTGCCAAGATAACTGACGTGACTGCCAGCTCCACTTACTACTCTGCTAACAAGCTGCTTCATCACTGGATCAAATTTGGCCATAAGCTCCGCCTCCTTTAGAAAATGTCCATTGTCTGGTTTATTTAGTGTGTCTGTGGACCCCCTAAATTCCAAGTTTCTTTCAGCTAAAGCCTGAGTTATTGCCACCAACCGATGTCAGACATCACGCCACCGTTTTCTCTCAGCCTCAGATAGTGCCATCTCTTGTTTATCTGTCGTGAGCCCTTTCACAAAATGGACCTCCAAGTCCTTCCACGTTGCCATGTGAGCATTATGTTCATGGCTCTCCTCGTGGGCCTTCAGCAAGTGACCTGCATTTTTCCAGTCCTTTAGTCCTTACCTAGTCAGTTTCTACTCTCTTTTAGAAAAGAGTTTACAGCAGAAGCAGTGCAAGCTATCATCTTTTTTAGAATACACAAGCCAGCTTCTTCTGACTTTTTCTCCATTGACTAAGAGTCTGTTAAAAAAAAGTCATGTCGACACCTTCGTCCATCTTTTTGTTTAGGGAATGTGAAGCTATTTTCAATTTGAAATGGACCTCTGTGAACCAACTCTGCTCGTACCTCATCTGTTAGAGGAGATGGCCAGTCAGCAGGGTCTACTGGAGAAGCAGAAGGTGTGCTTGATGTTGCTGCATCACTGCTAAGGTGTGCTGCTGAGGTGGAGGCAACAGGAGGAGTGCATGATGCTGCAGCTGCATCACTGCTTCATTGTTGGGCTGAGGTAGAGGCGATAGGAGGATTTGCAGGGGAGGGAAACTTCAGCAGCGCATCTGAAGACAGAAGAGGAGTATATGACACCAAGCTAAACATCAATACATGATTTCAAGAATAAAATAAAATTCTGAAAAAAAAAAAACAGAAATGTATGCACAATGCAGTGTTCATGAAAACATTTGAGCTAAACCGGCAGCAGACATAGATGAGTCTCATGCAAGACATTTTTGAACCACGCAGGACAACGTTCTCACGTGCTGCTGATCTGTATCTAACAGTGGTGGGTTTTCCATCGACCTCGGACATTGACATATTATAACTTTTTTGCAACAATAATCTGTTGCAATAATTTAAAGTAGAAAACCATCAATGAGAATTTTTGCAAAATGCAAATAATTTTCTACTATGAGGTTTAAAAAAATAACTCATAAAAAATATAAAACAGACAGAATTGTGAAGAAACTATCAGACCGATACCAAGGACCATCATATAACATTTAGGCGTTATCATGAAACACTGAACTCTCAGAACACAAAACATCAGAAAGTATTCCAACGCACTAAAATAATCCTAGCTAGGTTGCTGTAATGTGTTGCTGCTGCTCTGCTATCGACGCGTTGCTTGTTTGACTGAACGTTTACAGCCTGGGAGCCAGATTTATACCAGCTGTTTAACAACTTTAATAAACCATTGTTAAGAGCTAATATATTTGTGTCTCATGCTTTAGTGCTGCAAAAACGTTACAATATTGAGAAAATAGCTTCGTTTGTCCTAAAGCATCCCCAGAGTGCTAATTAATAACGTCATGAAATCATCATTTAATTTTAATATTTTACACCTTACCTCTGTCTTTGTAGCGTTTTTCCTCCTCTCTTTTTTTCCTCCACTGGGCTCCAGATAATTTAGGCCGTTTAGACATGATGAACTAGCTGACTCATCAAAACAACCGTTCCGTAGAAGGGAAAGACGGGGCGAAGTGGGCGCCACGCGCGGCGCCACATAGCTATGTGTCATTAATCATTTTTAAATGCACACTGCGCTACTTAATAAACTTTGCTAAGAAGGTATTATGTTGTGGGCAGGTCTTGATATTTTAATATTAAGACACATTAATATCAACTTGCTTAAGTTTGGTTTACGCTTGACGCGTCCGCACGGCTCCGCGCGGTAAAGTTGTGTCATTTTGCGTCATTTTAACAACCACGCCCCTCCACCGCACCTCCGCACGGCCCAGAATTTCCGCAACGAGCACCTCGGAAAATTTCTAACCACGCGGACGGACGCAGAAAAACATGGCGGACCGGCAAGAACTAGTATGGCAGAGGTTCGTAAATACAGACATTTGTATGATTCAGCTCT